AAGCAGTGCTGCTTAGGCTGCTCTTGGATGTAAAGAGTAAATAAACGACTACATTAAAACAGAGTCAATCTTTTACGGATTTCAGTATACTGCTAATGCACTTAGCAATAATTAATTGGGCTTTGTCATTTGCTCCCTTTTACAGAACACTAAGTGTAAGCCAAAAATATTGTGGCCTTTTAACCCAAATTAATCAACAGAAAAAAATACATCTATCTTTTCTCTCTCTCTTGAACAAGTGAAGCCAGCAGATTTTCATGTGCTGTACCAGGGACAAATGATTCACCTGGGTACTAAATGATTTAARAGTAAGAACAATTAGTTAATTTTGACAGTCTAAGTTCTAATTCTCTTCAGGGAAGTCATAATTAAATGTACTCTCAATGTACAGGTTATTTAAAGTCATCTGATGAACCCCTATGCCGACCCTGCAGATTGCTCGACATACACTCAGTTTCTTTCAAAAACTGTTTTCGTTGTAATCATATTGCTCAGTTTCAACAGTACCATGGTGGATGTGAGGCTGGCTGATTACCAGTGCAGCCTTCTCTAAAGGCTCTGTCAGTGTTGAGCTCCAGGTGCCTGCTGAGGCCTCCTGTCTGTCTGCCTGGCTGACCTACACTGGCACTCACCATATGTGCCTATCTCATCACCTTCTGTCTCTGTCACACTGCACAAAGTATGCCAGAATCCCTGTCTGAATCTGGATCACCCTCCTTATTTTTCAGAATCCATCCTTGTCATTCAAAAACAGCGCTTGACATTTTTAATTATTGTCTGTCATTATCAAACAATAAACCCAGCATATGTGTGCCACATTAGTGTCTGATTAAAAAAGTCCAACTCATTGTACCACCGCAAAACCAGAACAAATCCAACTTTCAGCATCGGTGCCACTGTTGGCTTGCTGATGGACATTCCGGTAGCCTGTCCTGGCTCGACACCAGTGCTTTCCACATTTTGCTCCAACCAAGCAGCAAAGCCCCCAGTAGCCTGGTTACAGCAAACCTGAGCAATTTGGATAATAATTAAGTCATAAATCTTGCCTCGACCATATGAAAAGGCTGCACCTGATTACACTCATCCCCACTCATCCCCCCACCCCGGTCCTCTGCATAATGYGTTTCACATCCATAATCAACCCGCTCAGTTGATAAGAAACCAATTCAGGGTGTCTGCTTCTCGATACCATTAGCTGCAGCTCACCTTGAGCGAATTAAACGTCTAAACAAATATGTCCTCTGAAATCTAATATAGAAAACCACTATAGAAGGTGAGACTGCATTCACTCAGATCAGATTTATCTGGTGTGCAAGGCTGAATTCCCCCCAGAGTATATTATATAAATATATAAATATATATATATAGTATTGAGATAAGAGTTGTTCTCTGTTGTAGGTGCTGAATTTGGTGATAAACCATTTCTACATTGAGCTAGAAACTAACTTTTGGTCTTGCCATTAAGGTGTGTGAATTTATTTTAAAATTTATTTACAGTTCTGTACATTAATAAGACCATCTAAAACATYGCACATGGCAGTGACAGCCTTCGTTTGCCCACAGAGTGCTTAAACAGAGCTTTGCGGTTTGAATATTACTGACAGCACGAGCATGCTTTGATATTCTGACCTAGAATGGAACAATTGCTTCCACAGGTACAAATACCCAGATTTATTCATATATGCACAGCGCACTCTTGATTGCTTTTCCAACTTGTCTAGCCACGGAGCTTAGGCTGCGAGCAGACAAGAAATGGCAGATTAGGGTTGTGAAATGTCCTGCAACAAATTTGCTTAGCTGTCACATACTGTATGTTTGACTAAACTTCACAATGGCTAAATAGTTTCGAACGTAACCAAAGGTGAGGGAGAACATGGAAATGCAGAAAAGAGAAAGACAAATACTACCMGTAAATCTGTGCGAGAGGCTGGCCTTTTAAAACCACACTCAGCTGTCGGGTACTTTTAAAGTCTGTGTAATACCATGGAGGACAGGCATCTTCAGGTTTTCAGGATATCATCATGCCTTAAGCTAGTTTAACATGTTCCAACAGTAGCTAAATATGGCAGCGTCACTGTGGATGGCTTAAATATGATTCATACTTAAAAATGGCAAGAGACATATTTCAAGGGTTCTGTCTAGTCTACCATGTCTCATCTGAGTTCTGGAGAATTAGTCACGCACAAATAAAATGAGATCAAACACCTTTCGGCCCAGTATTTTCTTCAGTGCGACATTACAGTGTGAAATCAAGCGCTACATTTCCAAGGCAATCACGTCCTTTATCACAGAGGAACTGTCACCCACCACCTACAGAGAGGGTGGTTAAGCCTGTGGGTAATACTGTGTGTTGGGTGCCTGACTGGGTATAAAGAGTGAGAATTTTTGCTCGCCCCCCACCACCACCTTCACACCAACAAGTCATAGCTGAGGAGGCTGCAATTCAAACAAGAAATGGGACATGCTTTCACACGACTTGGCTCAAACAAACAGATTAATTTGTTGCTTTTAGACAATGGCTTGAGTTTGCAGCCAAAAGCAAGGTTACTCTGTGCAGATGCATAGAACTTTTTATACATTCTGATTTCTTTGTTTTTCTATTTGTCATGCTCTCATTCGCACTGAAAGAGGGAAGCACAAAACTGCCGGAGATCATTAAGGATGACATGATGTTTATATAACCTCCAAGCTTCCCAAACCAGATRCAATTATTAACCCCTGGTTCCTATGACCCTAGCCCTGTCGTGTTTGGACTCGCAAAACTCCAGTCCCATTTCCCAAAAGTTAGCAGCGTACAGGGCCATGGGGGAAGGTGGGAAATATAGAGTGGGACCGAGCAAGAGTTGAGTTCTTTTCACAGCTCGTTCTGACGGGAGCTATTGCTGCCTAATCCAAAGTGACGGGCACTTCAGTGGAGAGGGCGCAGAGCCCCCCAATTTCCGCCAGGACCCCTCAGCAGGAGCAGCAGAGAAGCCAAGGGTTGGGGTGGCAGACTTATTGTGGCCCGGTGAGTGTGAGTGGGGCAGGGGCCTCATTACAACGCTTAACTGCACTCACAGGCCCTCATTAACCCGCCACACCAGTGACTCAAATCAAAACAGACAATAAAAGGAGGTCAGTGAAAGAATAAAAGGTCCCATTTTAGCCTCAGCATTGTCACTGAGTACTTTGGGACATTTCTTTAAACAAACACATCTCAGTAAACTTTGATATTCAGAACAATAAATTTAAGTAAGGAAATTTTCTTTTACGGTTGTATTTGAGAAGACAGCAGCACGGATGTTCTCACTTTATCACTGCTTCATGAAACAGTAGATCTTGCATGCCCTTACATGAAAAACGTCACCAAGGTTAACTCAAATGAACCAAAAACAAAGGTGGTTAAGCACAGACAAGACTCTAACTGATTAGCATACCCTGACATGGAAAGCACGTAGCCAGCCTCGGGTAGCAGCCATGTAAAAGTGGTCTGAGGGATGAGTAATAATAAACACTTTAGTACTGTATTTTGCCATCGGGATGCAAAAAGAAAAGCCCAGCCTGTAATAATTTTTGCATGAATGGTTGCGGAAGCAAAACTTGGCACATTAAATGATGCATTTCACAGAGACAATTAAGGAGTGAATCAACACTTCTGCCTCAGTGAATAMATTTGAAATGTGAGAGGCACAAAGTGGAAATGAAAAATCTCAAAGTTTTAGAAGAAAGGCTAAAAATATTTAAGATAAGTCTATGTAACTTAAATTCAGGGAAAAAAAAACAATTACAATCCGTTTGCATCTTACGGAGCCGGCGAGGGGACATGGGGGAATTTTTTTCTTTTGCATTCCCACGCAATACCTTTGCATTCCCTCACAATACTTTTGCGTTACCTCGCAATACTTTTGTGTTACCTCGCAATATTGTTTTGCGTTCCCACGCAAAAGTTTGATTTGTATATGAACTGAATTAAATCAGACTTTTATTTTGAAATATCCGGTTACCAAAACAGGATGTGTCGCCACAAGTTCGTGAATTTGACATTGATGTTACGTGGCTGCACTGTGTTAAAATTTTTATTTACTTATTTATTTATTTTTTATTTACCGTTATTTTACCAGGCAAGTCCCGTTGAGATCGCAGATCTCTTTTTCAAGAGAGGCCTGGGCCTGAAAGAAACCTATTGTACATGTTTTTGTTGGGTGGGGGAAACCAGAGTACCTGGAGAAAACCCACGCAAGCACGAGGAGAACATGCAAACTCCACACAGAAAGACCCCAGGTCCGAACCGGGGATCGAACCCAGGACCTTCTTGCTGTGGGGCGTCAGTGCTAACCACTGAGCCGTCGTGCTGCCAAAAATATCGTCATATGACATACTTCCATGCGTGGTTGTGTGATATATTCATTCTGAAGCTGAATTAAAGCAGTAGGCTACTGTAACTCGCTAATGGTAAACATGTGAGTTTGTTAATAAACCGGCAGGCACAACAGTGTTTAACGACTTTTGCAAGGGAACGCAAAAGGTATTGCGAGGTAACGCAATATTTTTGCGTGGGACCGCAAAAGAAAAAAAATCCCCCGTCCCCTCRTGGGCTCAGTAGCATCTTTCCAGAATACCTTTTTTATATATAAATCCTGAGCAAAATGAGTACTACTTAAAAAAATGAAATGTGTTTCTGAAACCAAGTGGTTGGATTGTTTGAAGCTGTAATCAGTGAACGATATGAAGAGGGTAGGTGGCAGCTCCCAAGTCTGAAATACATGATGATGAGGTCACAACATAAAGACCAACAGGCCATCACATTCTGCCTGTCACATCATCAGCAGTGCTCTGCTTCCCATTTTTACAGCCCGTAATCTGCATACATCACCATACAGGAGAGGAGAGAAACAGACTTCGTGAAGTCCTGTGCACTCTGCATTATGTGCATATGGAGGAATGAAACAGTACAGGAAAAGGGAAGAGAAAAACCACACGGGGAATACAAAGTGCTGAAAAAGACAGATGGGCCCACTTACCAGCTTGGTTAGTGGTAATGTTGACTGAGGAGTACTGAGGAGAGTAGGGGCTCTGATCTGACACCCCGTTGACAGCCTGCACCTCAAACGTGTACTGCGTGTGGGCCAACAGGTCACTAATGTACACCCGGGTTTCTGTCAGGCCGAGCTGACGGGGTAAAAACTGAACGTTGTCGCCGCAGCGGGTGCACCCTCCTCGACCTCCGCCACAGCTCTTGCAGATGATGTTGTAGACTACGTCCTCGCGGCCCCCCGAATCTCGAGGAGGCATCCACTCCAGCATCACAGACGTTTCATTCACGCTGGAGATCACAGCCTGCGGAGCCGATGGGACCGCTAGAAGAAATGACAACATTTGATTACAAATACAGACAAATAATTCCGGAGGAAAGCGCTCTGGTCAAAATGTTAGGCAAACATTTCAGCATTTATTATTGCAACCATGAGGATGAAGGCCCCCCTTCTCACCTCAACTTGAAACACTTTCTCAAACCCTAACTTGCAAGTCTATTAAGATAAGATAAGATAAGATAAGATAAGATAAGATAAGATAAGATAAGATAAGATAAGATAAGATAAGATAAGATAAGATAAGATAAGATAAGATAAGATAAGATAAGATAAGATAAGATAAGATAAAACKTTATTGATCCCACAGTGGGGAAATTTGCACATTACAGCAGCTCAAAACAGGACAGGGTGAGACAGAATAAAGAAAGATAAGTAAAAGAAAAACAACAAAAACACTATACTCATGATATATAACAATGTACATATACCTAGTACAGTGCATAAATGAATATATATGAAGGTGCATATTAGTGATGGCAGTGTAGGTGAATTATTATAATATAGGTGAAATATTATAATATAACAAATGATTTTGTCCTTTAAGGTTGCTGCATAGATAAATCCTTGTATTTTGGAATTTCACTCTTCAACTAAAACACAGAAAAAAATAAATAATGATGTCCAAAATCAATAACTGCTGAGGGCCAAACACAAGTAAACTTGAGGTTTAGCAACCAGTCAGTGCATTTGACAGAATAAACATTCATAACTGACTTGTACAATTTGAGTTAGTTTTGGCAAGCATGTCGACATCCAAGTGATAAAATGCGGTTAACACTCACAGAAGTCCACATTTGAAGGACAGCACGAGTGTAACTTAATGATGGAAGTGCTGCTGCGCCCTTGATGGTGTGAAGGGCATAATTACTATCTTTGCTTACACAACCCTTTTTACAGGAGGGGAGACATTCCACAACCTTGCAAAGACACTACAGGCTCTTTGAGTTGACTGCATTCCAAGCTTGTAGTGCCTTTTCCCCCGGGATGCTCATTTGCACTCTCATTTTCAATGTAGGTGTCCACTTAGTCGAGTGTTTTCTTAACATCTATTCTTGACATTTTACTTATGGGCGGGATGCATAGGGTTACTGCAGCTGAGAGAAACCTACTGTTTTCCTTTCAAGCCATACTTAGCAGATAGAAATTACAGAATGGAAACTTTCCACATGCTGCTACGCGTTGACTGACAGGCCAAACAAACAAACAGTGAAAACTGTTTATCTGTTACCGACATGTGCGTCTAATTATGGTCGACATATCCTCGAGGACTAAGGAGATCAACAATTCCACTCCGCCCACAACACCCTTAATCTGAATCGATCACTTCTTATTTAACCTCCTTTTAATTGGCATCAATTAACAAATCTTCAGCTCTGGAAAAAAGCCCATTGGAGTGCCCTTCTTGGAATCTTCCTGAAGCATAACTCCTCTTTGGCATATCCTTATAAGGAGGAGGACTAATATCCATCCCATTAGCTGGCGGGCCTCTCTGATGGTTCTGTTGTCTTGCCTTAATCAAACCCGAGCCCCGCTGCGTTTAATGCGGGTGACGTGAGGCTGCTGCTCTCTCATTCACAACAGCTGCTCAACTCCCAGACCCAGGCTTATGCAAATCTTCTTTGTTGGAGACCATCAAATCTTTTCCCTCCTCTCGCCTTTCAACAGGCCTCAGGAGGAGAATACGGAAAAAAAAAAAAACTGAAACACTGAAAGGTGCTATTTTACGCACTCACACTCGTTTTGTTTTAGTTGGAGAACACTGTGTACATCAACAGATTTTAACATTTCTCACACAAACACCCTTGTTTCCATTCCATCGATTTCCATCTTTATTTCGCCGTATTTTCTTCAAACTTTACCCCGCTCTTGCTCACTTTGCTCTATCTATCCTCTGCCTTTCTCTCTCMCAACCTCTCAAATTCAAATTCTAATTYAAAYAGCTTCATTGGCATGACAAGAGAAAGCCTCGCCTCGGCTCTTTCTCTGAGACTGACCCTTCACAAAGCTGAGCGCCCTGGCCCACTAACCTCCAGTCTGGTTGGGAGTACGGACTGTGTGATGTAGAGGAAGGGCAGCCGAGCCTTGTCTGCCRGGTCAGATCTGTGAACAGACACGCTTTGAGCGTGTCAGCAATATATTTGTGTGAGAGACAGCTCTGACAGGGTTCCTCTGTTCAAAGCTGTACAGACTATGGTCCCCACTTTGATCTCGGGGTTCTTCTGCTTGTGGGTGCGAAATGTGTCAAACAGTTCATCTCTGAAACCAAAGAGTAACTACTCGTGTCTATATACTCTCTAAAAGTGGTTTGAGAGTTCACAAACAACATTTGAAATACTACACATACTTGTGCAAGGCATCTGGAGAGGATCAGAGTCGGTGCGATAGTATCCATTGCGGCAAATGCAGTTCATGGCACCCACACTCGTGGTCCGACTGTTGATGGGACACTGCATGCAGGGCTCGTCTCCTTGAGTTGATTTGAAAAATCCAGACGGACAGGCTAAAACAAGAGAATAAACAAAACAACAGATAAAGTTAAAGAAAAAAAACTGTGACGTTTAGTTATTAAGCAACAAGTCACTCAGGAAACTGAAATAATTCAATAAATATAATTTATTTAATGATTTATACTCGTTACTAAAATAATGTTGTAGTGAGCATAGGTGTAATTTGTGTGGGGGTTAGGGAGGTTATGACCCCCACAATAATTTGATCCAGTCAATATACCCCCCCCCCCAAAAAAAAAGACAATTTTCTCTAACATAATAAAAATTCACTGGATAAATACACAGCTGCAGCTCTCTTGTTGTCTTTATGTAACTTTGACTTGATTTCAAAATTGAACATGTCATATGTTTAGACATAATTGCGGAAAATGACAGGCAGGGTTTTAGTCTGCTCTTGTCAAAATACGGCTGTATTTGCATACATGTCAAGTTGTACAGATTATCCGCAATTTACAGGGACTTTCCCTCATTTTGCAGGCACACGGACGTATAGAGCAGTCTCACAGATTTTTCCATGTTTTTATGGATTTTTTTCAAAAACTGTTTCACAATTTTTTAACACGTCAGAGCCTGTAGGACGTTTAAAAAAATAAAAACAATACATAAGATCAACTAACCATCTTCCAACCACTGTGCTGCTAGAAATAACTTCTCCCCTTATTTYCTCCTGCTGAATAATACTTTTTTGTGAAAATGACAGATTTTTGATGCTCAACATACAGGTAAACATCCGAAGGACTTGACATGTATGTATTTGTTGAATCGTGTTGTAATTTTTYCTCACCAAATTGTTGTGCAACAGGTAAATGCATACTCATGGAAAATTTTGTAATTTACGTCGTATTTTAAAGAATAACAATATTTGTGACTGTTGTAAAAAAAATGTGAGTAAAAAGTAAGTCTTTTCTTAATTGTTGAACTGATTTGGAACAGAAAAGCTGCAGAGTAAAAACAAAGAAATCAGAAATGTTAAGTAAATCACATTTAAAGCACTACAATGTATTTTAACTCCAWAATATCCTGAATCATTTTACAGGCAGAGAGCATAACCCCCTCAAAGGCAGACCTAAAGTTACRCCCTTGGTAGTGAGCAACAGCTTGCTTTGCTATTTGCTTACACTGCACTACAGAAAAAGAAGCCATAATGTAAGGTGATTCAAAACAATCAAAACACCATGCAGGCTTTGAGTCCAACAAAAGCACAAAGTGTAATAAAAAAAAAAACACACCTGTGCATGTTTGCCTRGAAAAAATAATAATATTGCAACATATTGTAAGGCTGTTTTGGATTATTCACAGGGCTGTAGTTGCCTGATAAACGTTTGAAGTGCTCTGCTTCCCTGTTAAGAGCTCTTTCAAGGGTGCCTTTCTGGAAACTTGCATTCATCCCAAACACAGCGATCAACAGCGCATCAGCCATTAAATTGTTTTTGTGCATCTGCCCGTGTGCGGATGAATCACCTGCTGTACATGAAGTGAATTTGTTYGTGTCTTGCCGCAAGCGTCAATCAATTCTGTGATAAACAAAATAACCAAGTAAAATCCTCTTATCCTCCCCTCTGAAGTCACATTTTGCCTAAACCTTACACTGGTAAAAACGGAACAAAACAACAACAACAACAACAAAAAAAAAAAAGACGTTTTCCAGCATTTGCACCTGCACCATGTCATGAGCTTTTCTTATATCTTGAGCCAAGAAAAAAAGCTGTAGTTTAGCTTCAGGTAATCCAGCTAACACCTGCTCCACTGATAGAACAAAAAAAAAAATGTTGAGACAGAGGTGTTGCAAATACAGTAACCTAGAAAATCCACACATTGGACTTGTTGTTTATTTGAGGTAAAACCCTGCAGGTTTTTCAACATTCTTTTGTATTAAAACTAATATAGACAATTAGTCTAATAAAGGAAAATAAAAAAAATTCAAAACAATGCTTCTTTTTGCAAATTGTTCTAAACCCAGCATAACAAATCCTTAAAAATATATATATTTATTTTTATTTTTATCTTATCCTTGATCCATTTTTTCTTTTATATAAACATTATAAAACTCCTATTTTCAAAAATAAAAGTCTATACAAATTAACATCTATTTCTACTTTCCATACAGTAAAACAATAACATTTTCCTTTTTTTTCATCTGTAATTGCGATTACAACTCAGTTATAACATCTGGAATACAGAAACATGAGCATCTGTAACTCCCATTCAAAAGAGTTTAAATCACAAGGCAGAACTGATTTAAGGTTCATTTGCAATGTTCCCGTCAAAAAAGACAAATCACTAAACAGTGAGGTAGAACATACGTTTAAATTCCAACAAATATGACAGGACAAAACTCCTTATAAATCAAACTGTCAAAATAAAGCCACAAAAAAATCCCTATTCAGGTAATTTTGTGCTTCAAATTCATCTTCTATATTATAAAAGATGAAGGTGTGACAAACGCCATCTCTTAAAGTCAAATACCAAAAAAAGTCACCGGAAGAAAGTTGCTCTAAGGTAAAAATGAAATCATGCTAAAGATCTTCTCACGAAGTATTAACTTTGACATGTTTTTCTTTTTACATGATTGATGGGGGAAAAGGTTCTGGGCACAGAGCGAAACATGAGGCCTGGACATTCACACTGCCAGTCAACAGGGTCTCTTAATGAGGCCCAGGCAACAGCTATGTGGGGAATTGGGATCAGACCTCAGAGGCACAGTGAGATCTGTGAGAGGACGGGGCTGTGAGGAGCAACGCCATAGGAAACGGCAGAAAGAGGGAGTGGGGGGTGAGAGTGTAAAGATGAAAACAAAGAAAGAAGAGGGAAGAGGTGGGAAATGGCTTTGTTTGGGAAATTTTCACTGGAGGAATTTGGCAATCGGTGTGCCAACATTAAATGTACGGGATGTATGCCGACTATCCATAACACAAGAAATTACTTAAAAATCTGCAAAAAGTTTAAAAAACAAATAAACTTGAGCTATGAAGCTGATGCCAGGCTACCACAGTTGATGGATGACTCAGTTCAATAAATTAATAGTATTTCCCCACTGAGATACAAAACTAATAGACATAATATACTTGCTCACATTGCAGCCAACAGATTTAGTGTCAAAATCACACAAGAATATTATGATTAAAAACAATGAGACTATAAATAGATAATTTATCTTTKTATATTAATGTTTTATATAATAATWCAGAGTTGTATTCTTATTTATGTTTTATCTGCTGTGCTGTGCTAGTCATTTCTTTTTTTAGGGGTGAATGTTTTTTGAAAAGGAAGGCTGAACACTAATGTTTTTAGATACATACAAAATCTCTGTTGTATCYGTTTGATYATGATAGTGACGCTGCACAGCCAGGAATAACTAAAGTAGAGAGCCATGTCAGTGGTCTGGTCATTGTTTTACGGTATCAACAAATACACTTGTATTTGTGCGTATATCTATTAGGATTAGGCAATATTGGCAAAAAAATTAATCACGGTTAATTGTGGTATTTAGCCGATAACGATTAATTTGACGATTAATGCCCTGGAGTCCCTGGACACCCTTATGACATGACCAATTTAGTGGGAAAGATTTGCTCTTCTTAAAAATCTGTTCCAAATTGTGTCAAAATTACCAACTTCAGGCTGTACATCAATTTTTAAATTATGTTGATGGATAAATAAATTACAGAACTTTTTTAATGTTTGTCATATTTGAAGTGGAGAGGAGCATCGAGTGGACTGACTGGAGAAATCTCCCCTGGTGGCATTAATCGTATTAATCGTCAAGTGTCAAAAATTAATCGATTAATGTTCTTCTGACGATTAATTGCACACGATACAACTATGCCCAACCCTAATATCTATATAAATAATTTATGTGTTGGTGTAATATTGGTAAATATCAATTATTGGCCATAACGCTAATAATAATATCGGACATCGATATCAGCTTACATTTTCATACTAGTGCATCCTTCGTTAAACTGTAGTTTATTTTTACATAACTCAAACTTACAGAACTCACAAAAATGATTAAAAGAAGATAAAAAAATATTTGAAATTACTGATTGCAATCTCTTATTTATGTGCTAGAAAAAAGTAAACCTATTCAGGAAGTGTTTTTTTCCCCCCATAAAAACTCATCCCATCCAGTTCAGGAGAACACTGTATTATATGTCTTGGCATTCCTGTGTGCTTTGCTATGGCCATTATTTTCAGGAAAAAAAATTTGGGGAATTTCCACTTTATACTCAGATGACAGATTTAAAGAGATGCACAGTTGGCTGGTGTCAGATGCAGGGAAGCAAAGACAAGGAGAGTAGTGATTACAAATCAGATCAGGGCTTTAATTCTCCATCTCCTCACCAGCCCAGACTGCTGCTGCTGAGCTGTTTGATCATCCTGTTGGCACTGCAGCAAGACACAAGAGAACTAAAGGCTACTTTTTAAACACTTCCTTTTAACTTCAAATCTATTTCTGCCAAGCAGAGGTAATTATTGTAAGAATATTTATTGACAAAAGCACCACTGTTGTTCCTACTGATATAAATRGCATCAAAAGCAACGAGCAAACAGCTCACATTTTTCTATTTTCTCCACAGACTGGGAGTGGAAATGGGATCGACAATAAAACGTGCCAATAAGTCAAGAACAAAAGGCACATAGAAAAGCTTTAAGGAAATTTATAAACACTTCGGACTCAGTATAATGGTAGCTGCGTCAAAAAGTCTAAATCACAAGAAAGTGCTCTAAGGCACACAGAAGGCATTCTAATGCTAAAAAYGTAAACTTTTAAAACAATGAAATCACCTGTCACTGAAGTGAGAGAGTTTTATTTTTCGTGTCGTGTGATCATTTAAGATGCCAGGTGTTATACTACTTTAATCTAACACAACTTCTTAAAACACATCTCCTGAATCCCTCCCCCACACAAGCGTACCAAACCCCCAGCTGCTTGTGTCTGCCAGTGTTTATGAGTGCTAATAATATATAGTGGCATAAAAGCTTTAATTAG